TTTCGGCTATAAGGTGAATGAATACATGCCTCTCCAAGTTGTACTACTGATTCATCCCCCCAAGACTTTTTCTACCTTGCCATAGAAACCTTTTAACCTAAAAATCCACTATACCTCACTCCTGAATTCACATTAAAAGTATGCCTCATGTCTGTGGCCTCTCCTTCTAAATGGCTGGCTCTTCCCAGAAATCACTTTAAGAAGGAAGGCTGGGCCAACCAAGTTTTCACTCCTTCCTAGGCTGCACTGATAATTCATTCTATCTTCTTTACCATGCCATCCCCCTCAATCCACTCTCCAAACCCCACCTCTCTTCAGTTCCTTTTCATGTTATCTGTCCTCCCATTAGAATGCAAGCTTCTTGAAGGCAGGGAATAGCTTTCTTTTGGCTTGCATTTGTGTTTCCAGTGCTTTGCACAGTATCTTGCATATAATAATCCCTTAATAAATGCTTGTTTACTTGAAAAAAAAAAGAAAAAGAAAATACAGTGAATCATTATATTTACATTACATTGTAAACACCTTGAAGGCAGGGGCTGTCTTTTGCTTCCTTTTGTATCCCCAGCTTAGCACAGTGCTTGGCACCTCATAGGCACTTAATGTTTTTTGATTGGTTTAGTCATGTGTCTATCCCAGGACAGCACAGAAGATAGAGAGAGGTCCATTGGCTCTGAGATCAAGGTCAGGTCAGGAAGGTATCTCACAAAGTCACTGAACCCTAGGACTGAACAGGGCCTTCAGCTACGTCCCAGAGCATGAAGAGGCCATCATGGATCCAGCAGTGGCCAGCCTGATTCTGTGCAGGATCAGAATAGGCGGTATCACGCAGCTTTGTCACTTTGACCCCAGAACAGGGTTGCAGATCCAGTGTGGAATGAGAGGCAGACCCACGCTTAGGGACTGTCAAACCGTGGAAGCATAACAAAGCAAGAAACAGTCGAGGCTGCAGCTGTTTATTGGGCAAAGAACAGGAAAAAAAGAGAGCTGCAACTGTACGGTTCTGATACCAGAGCAGAGGATCTCAGGTTCAGCCATCTGAACCTTGGTCTTGGAAAAGGGGTCCTACCAAATTTCTTTGAAGATATAAATATGATCTTGATACTTAAATTAGGGAGAGTAGAAAGAGAGAAAGAAAACTACAGACTGATACCTCTAATGAATATTGGCATAAAAGTTTTAAATAAGATATTAGCTAAGAGTCTACAATAATATGACACAAAGATTGGGCACTTTGACCAAGATGGATTTATTCCAGAAATGCAGAGTTGGTTTAATATTAACAAAACCATCAATATAACAGACCATATTTATAAGAACAACAAAATCATATTATATCAACAGATGCAGAAAAAACTTTTGACAAGATACCATAGTTACTGTATATCTTCAGGTGTAGCAAGAGCTGTTGACAAAGAATGGCTGGTTCACATCACCACATTCCATTTTCTGCCATGGCCTCCAACTTGAAGACCAGGAATGGCCTGCTCAACTTTCCTGACACTTCGCTAACCTGGCCCACTGGGAACTGGTATGCAGACTAAGCAGGAGCCCAGACAGTCTGAGGCCATGGTCACTGCCAACATTTATTATAATATTTACATATTTCTCCACCATTTAACATGTATAAAACTATGCTATTTTTTTTATTATGTTCCTATCTTTTTTTTAAAAAAAAACATGTCACTAACAAAGTTTTTTGAGCGTTGTGCCTCTAAACCCCATTTTTTCCATGCTATGATTTTTACTGCATGATTTTGAACGTCTAGTTCAGGGGTGGGGAATCTGTGGCCTCCAGGACACATGTGGCCTCGAGGTTCCCCACCCCTGCAGTTAGAGCCAAACTAACTTAACTATACTGTACAGAACAAAATCTCACAACATATACCAAGATAATCTCCAAATGGATACATGACTTATACACACACAGGCTGCCAACATAAATTAGGCTGCCAACATAAATTACAGGAGCAAGGAAAAAATTACCCTTCAGATATATTGACGGGGAAGAAGAGCTCATGACCAACAAGTGGTAGAGAGGATAACAGAAAATAAAATGGACAATTTTCTTACATAAAATCAAAACATTTGTACATGAACAAAAACAAACAAAAAAAACAAGTAAAATTAGATAGGAAATGGGGGGAAAAGTTTGCAGCACGTTTCTTTGATAAAAGTCTCATTTCCAAGATATGTAAGACAATGCTTCAAATTTTAAGACTAAGAGCCATTCTCAAATTGATAATCAAAAGATATGAATAGGTAGTTTTCAAAAAAATAAATTCAAAGCATGCAATGTCCCAACTCTATGAAATATTCCAAGATACTAATAAGTAGAAAAATGCCACTGGAATGTTCCAACTCACTTATAAGTAGAGAAATGCAAATGAAAGGTTCTACCTCATATCACCCATCAGATTAGGGAAGCTGACAAAAAAGAAAAATAATAAATGTTCAAGGTACTGCCATAAACAGGCAAATTAAATGCCTATTCAAGGGTTATAAATGTATCCAGCCATTCTTGAATAGAAAGCAATCTGGAACTATGCCCCCCAAAATCACTATGTTATGAATAATACCTTTTGACTTAGCAATACCACTAACACAATCAAACCCCAAAGAGATCAAAGAAGAAAAGTATCCATTCATATAGCAGCAATATTTATAGTAGCAAAGTAGAAACTTAAAAGGTGACCATCACAAGGATAATGGCTGAATAAATTACAATATATTAATGTGATGGAATACCATTGTGCTATAAGAAAGAAAAACCTGGGTAAACTTGAAGGAATTGATGAATAGTGAACAAAGCCATGAAAATAATTTAAACAATAAAAACACTGTCAAGACCAACAACTCTGAAAGAGTTAAGAACTCTAATCATTACAATGGCCAATCATAATTCTAAAAGATTAATGATGTATGCTTGCTACGCACCTCCTGATAAAGAGGTGGTAGATTCTGTGTGTAAAATAATGGCCAATGTGGAAATTTGTTTTACTCAACTGTGCATATTTATGACAAGGGGGAAGTTGGGAGGTAGAGGGCCAAGGAAGAAAAAATAGATTTTTTTAACTTAAAAACAAAAAATTAAATAAAAAAACTGGAAACATTATATTTAAAAAGCTAGATGTCTCATAAGGATTACAAACCCAGCATGTCCATAATAAAACTCACTGTTTTTCCCTAATCCCACTCTGCTTCTGAACGTCATTGTTCCTTTCAAAGTTAACACCATCCTTCTAGTCACACAGCTTCATCCTCACTCCCTGACCCAACATAACCAGTAAGGAGTCAAGTCCCATCTGTTCATTTCCACAACATCCCCTTCTTCCTACTCACACAGCCACCTCTCTAATTCAGGCCTTTATCACCTTTCACCTGGACTCCTGCAGAAGCTTCCTAATTGGGCTCTTTGCCTCAAGTCTTTTCTCTCTCCCATGCAATGATCTTCCACATAGATGCCAATGTGATTTTTCTAAATCTCAATTACCTCTAGGACCAAATACAAACTCCTCTGTTTGGAATTCAAAGTCTTTCACAACAGCCTGTTTCTAACCTACCTTTCCAATCTTAACATATGTTATTCCTCCTTCATACATTCTGTGTCCAACCAAACTAGGCTTCTCGATGTTCCTCACCCATGACACTCCATCTCCCATCTCAGTGAATTTGCAGAGGCTGTTTACCATGCCTGGAATGCACTCTCTCCTCACCTCCACTTCTTATAATCCCTAGTTCCTGTCAAAGCTTAGCTCAAGCTTCACTCCTACATGAGGGCCTTTCCTAATCTCTCTAACTACTACTGCCTTATCCTCGTCCCACAATTAACTTATATTTACATATTTATTTTGTATATGCTTATGTAAGCATGTTATCTTGCCCAATAAAACCAAAGGATAGGACTGTTTCATTTGTCTTTGTGTCCCCAATGTCCAGCACAGTGTCTGCACATAGTAGGTACTCACTGAAAGCTTGCCTGATTTAAACAAGTACAAATTAAAATTTGAACTAGAAAATTTATACTTGCTTTCATTTGGAAAGCAAAATATCTGCATTTGCGCATTATAATATCTCTTCCCAATAAAAACAAAGGAAAAGAACCACTGTGTACAAGATTGACTATGATAAATTTTTAAAAAATAATTTCCAAGCAAGATTGTCTTAATTTTAAATGTTTTTCCAAGGGAGTTGTATCCTAACAACTTTAAAGTATAAATTTAAGTATTATTTTATCTTGAGCTAAAAACTAGGTATGTATCATTATAAGGTACATACTCAACATTACTAATTTTCATCTATCATTAAAAGTTTATTTTCTTGGGGGCAGCTAGATGGCACAGTGGATAGAGCACCGGCCCTGGAGTCAGGAGGACCTGAGTTCAAATCCAGCCTCAGACACATAATACTTCCTAGCTGTGTGACTCTGGGCAAGTCACTTCACCCCAACTGCCTCACTAAAAAAAAAAAAAAAAGTTTATTTTCTTATTCTTGCACAGCAAATATCATTGATGGCTCCCATCCATGTTTATCAGAAGTGTCGAAAACATAAGCCCACTGTGTGAAAGAACACTGAACTAGAGATGGCAACAGAAATAAATGAACACAAGAAACTATGACATCCAGCACAGCAGGAAAACATCTTTTAAATAACAAGACAAACAGCACCTTTTCAAGAAGAAGAGCTAATAGCATGTTGGCCGGGGCGGGGGGGAAGCAATCATAATTTTAACACAGGCAGAAGGTAGAATCTATTCAAGTGAAAAGAAGTAAAAGGAATCATCTACATTGTATTATCTCCTTTTTTTTTTCTTTTCCTATTTCAGTAAATCCTTTTGCTATTCCATTATGCTTTCCTCCACATTTCAGAGGAATTCTCTACATCAGAGATCAATTTACTTAATTATTCCCAAAAGTGAATTAAACATATTAAAATAAGGATGTCTATACTTTATTAACAAAATTAGTTAACACGTAAAGAATGATATACATGAATTACTTACTTATCAGGCACCCTTGGAGCAAAACAGGATGTAGTAGAATGAACACACAGAATGTTCTCAGCCCCAAGCTCCTTGATTTTAGCTTCCACTCCCTTCAGGTCTGTGCGTAGCTCATCACCTTCTAATACATTCTCTATCACCACAGGCTCAAAACCTAACAAAGGTATCCAAAAAGAAAAGGAGTATTCACGTATCCGACTATTCATAGGAAGGCAAGATTATAAAAACAGTAAAATAGAGTCATTCCTACTCTATCACTAAAGCCTGGCTGATTTTTCCTTCTGGTAAAAGATAGATCATCTAAGGAGTGCAGGAAATAAGACATGGAAGTATAATTATGTAAATATAGAGACAATGATGACCAAAAAGAATGTGTCTTCAATTAAGTATTAAGTAACACATCAACTGAAGTAATGGAATAAGGCTTAAAATCAACTTGAGATGAATGTTTAGGGAAAAGATAATAAATTTCTGATGTAGAAATCACTGAGGATTGATCTACCACTTACACATAAATTCTACTAATTAAGTGCAACTATTTAACATTAGAACAAACAGGACGAGTGAAAGCTAGCACATTTTAAAAGACAAAAAAATTTGTTTCAGACATTTGTTGTATTAAGTATGTATCATTAAAAGCCAAGAACAAGTTAAAGATTCCACATTCAAAAAAGACATTATGCTTCTATTTTCAAAGTATAAATTTATGCATTTATATACAAAAATTCACGACAAGACATTAGCTAGAAAAAATACAGAGGTTATTTTAAGTACATTGTGAAGATAACTACTATAAGGAGGGGTACTAGGTGGCGCAGTGGATAGAGCACCAGCCCTGGAGTCAGGAGAGGACCTGAGCTCAAATCCGGCCTCAGACACATAACACTTACTAGCTGTGTGGCTCTGGGCAAGTCACTTAACCCCAATTGCCTCACCAAAAAAAAAAAGAAAAAGAAAAAGAAAGATAACTACCATAAGGAAAGAAAAAAAGAAATTATGAGTACAAGCCTTGGCAACTAGTAAAAACATCAAATTTGCAAAGCATTTAAGGCTATCTGCATATCAATCACAAGCACAACTTTTTTTATTGTGATGAAACTGCCCTTTAAAAAATTAGTTAAAAAAGGTAAAAAGTATTACAATTAAATACCCAAGCAAGTTAGAGTAGTAAGATTATAGAATTTTAAAAGTTAGATGGACTTTTAGAAATCATGTAGCCCAATTCCTTTACTTTAAAGTTGAGGAAACTTAAGGGCTAGAGAGATTAAGTTAACTTGCCCAAGATCCCATAGTGGCAGAGCTAAGCCAAGATTGACTGAACTGTAGAATGCATACCAGGAAAACACTAAATCTGAAGGATATGAATGACGGTTCACTGTTTAAAAATAGCATCAAAGGATCATGGATTTAGAGCTAGAAGGAGTTTAAGAAGTCATCAAGATCAACCCTCTCATTTTATAGATGAGGAAACTGAGGCACAGAGATATTAAGTGACTTGCCCAGAATTATACAGCTAGTAAGTACTTGAATCAGAATTTGAACTGAAGTCTTCCTGGCTCCAAGTTTAGTATTCCAAATAGATAACCACCTTCTGAAATACTTATGGATCTAGGACCTCATCTCTATACACATACTTCCTCTATCTGAGCAATGCATTCACACTTGCTCATCCTATGTAATTCTTGTCCAAATCCTCCATAGATGAACTACCTGATTTACGGGGGTCTCAGATAAGAAAATTCCTTCTACCAGTGTGGATGATACTTTCGCCACAAATTGCTTAGATTACTATGCGGCTGTGTGACAAGACAAGACTTGAAATGAGATCTTCCTGGCTCCAAGGTTAGTTCTCTTTACAATATAGCATTCAGCCTTTCAAATAAAGGAGAGTTAGCTGAAATCAATTTGAAAGACTAAGGGGAGACAGATTGTGAAGGGTTTTGAATAACAAACAGAAGTTTTACTTTATTTTATACTAGAGCTCATAGGAAGCTATTGAAACATGTTAAGGGGTGAATCTAAACTTTAGGAATGTGAAATCTGGCAAATTAGAAAAGAAGGCCTAGAGAGAGGAGAGTCCGGCAACAAGGAGACCAATGAGGCAAACAGTAAGGAGGCCCTGAATTTCATATGTGCTTCTACATTCATATTTTGTTGAAGTTGATGTTTATTTCATTCCATTACAAAGCACATTTATGATTTCATTATATATCCTTGTCAAACAGAAAAAAAAGTCTACAAAGATTACAGTAACAAATTTTCACCATTAAGGACAGTGAAATAACCACAATTGAATATCACTGTCTCAGATGTGTTTATAAAGAAGGTATAAATGACGGAAAAAAGAATTGAATAAAATTAAGTATACAGAAAGGAGAGCGATATTCAGTCAATCAGTTGACCAATAAATATTTATGCACTTACTATGTGCCAGGCACTGTACTAAGCACTGAGAACACAAAGAAATGCAAAAGACAGTCCCAGATCTCAAGGAGCTCAGTCTACAGGTAGAGACAACTTGCAAACAACTATGAACAAACAAGCTATACGCAGGATAAATTGGAAATAATCAACAGATGGAAGTCACTAGAATTATGGGAGCAGAAAAAAAACTTTCTGTGGAAAGTGGGATTTTAGCCGAGACTTGAAGGAAGCCAGGGAAACCAGAAGGCTTAGATGAGGAGAAAACATATTCTATGTATGGGGAACAGCCAAGGAAAATGTTCAGTCAAGAGATGGAGTTTCCTATGTGAGGAACAGCAAGGAGTCAGTGTCACTGGACTACAAAGTATATGGACTGCTGGGAGAGGGAGGGAGGCATTGTGTAGAGCATGGTAAGGTTAAAGAAGACAGGGGAGTGGGGAGTGGGAGCTATGAAGAGCTTCAAATGCCAAACAAAGCATTTTATATTTTTTCCCAGAGGAGACTGGGAATCACTGGAATTTAACTGAAGGGGATGCTGAGGGGAAGAGAGGAGAAAGACACAGTCAGACCCGAATTTTAGGAAGATCACTTTGGAAACTGTGTGGAGGATGAACTGACAGACAGACCAACCAGCAGGCTATTGTAATAGTATCTGAGGAGGGGAAGAAACTAAAATCTCACAAAATCAGACAATGCTATGGAGAAAACAACTACCAACCTATATATGCCTATTCTCCCATCTATACAAAAAAACTATGATGTTTGTATTCCCACCAGTATAAAGAAGTGAGAATAAGTAATGAATGAAATCCATAGCATTGTTTCTGAAACTACAAGCACAACCTCCTTTTGGGATTCTTCTACTGCATTAAGTGTGATTTATTATAATCCTCTTTGAGTGAAGCACAGCTGCTTGAAGCCTCATAAATCTAAATGCATGAAGTTCAACAGGTTGTTTGTGTTTTTTTCTGCAACAGATTTTTAACTTCTGCAAAAGGTTCCCCCCACCCCAAGGTACCAGTAGCTCCTCTCAAGATCATTCTCAGGATATTTATTAATATCAAAGGTAAGCAGACTAACCATGCTGTGATAACCACCCAACTGCCAATGTCACCAACTATATGCCAATTTTACATTATAATTATAAGGACCAGTCCATTCTAGTTCTTCCTACAGAAAACAGGTATGTGATGCCTCTGACTAAACAAATTGTGGTACAGAAATGTGATGGAATATTACTATGCTATAAGAAATAACAATACAATGAGCATAGAGAGGCATGGAAAGACTTACATGAACTGATGCAAAGTAAAGTTGGGCCAAGAAAACAAAAACACAACTGTAACAATGTAAACAGAAGGAACCACAAAATGATAGAAAATTAATGTGAAGGCGGAGCAGGTGGAGAAAAAGCTCAAGGCCAAAGAAGAGATCAGAAGATACCTTCCTCCTACTCCTTTGCAAAAGTTGAAGGTCCAAGGGTATGAAATATTGCATATATTTTCATATTTTCTCTATGTATTAATTGGTTTGGGGGTTTTTTCTTTTTCTTCTTTTTATGGGATAGCTCTCTCATATAAGGAGAAAAGAGATACAGAAGGAAATTTATGTGATGCACAAACATAAGATATAAATAAAAATGTATATCAAAAAAATAGGCACCTAAGGTCACTGAGGATCTTGAATATGTACCAAAGCCAAACTGCCTCAATGACTAATAATGAATGTATTAAAAAAACTAATTTTAAGTGCCCTGGCCAACTATCACTCAGAAAAGACTATACATGAATTTATACATGTAACTGCCTGAGCAATTAAGGCTTTTAAACCTTCCTGAGCAATTAAGACTTAAAAAGCTTCAAGAAGAACAGGGGCCTTACTGATAAAGGCTGACATTAGAAATGTAACTTCATCATTATATATGCAAGAATGATCCAAATATTCATCTTGCTACCATTATATAGACATTAGTACTTATACTGGCATGTAAAAGGTTGGGAGAAGACTAAAAGGAACTCTACAGACTCAGAGGAGTATGCCCTTCACCTTGACGTACTCAAGAGGATCACTGAGCTTTTGTACTCCTTATACTCATGATCCAGCCAGATGTAATTTATCCCATCCATAACTGATATCCTTCAATAAATCCCACTGAAATATTCAATATTGTGGGTACTAGGTTTTTTCACTTTTTAGAAGCACAGGAGTAGTGTTTACCATGTAACTTCATTTAGGTAACATTAATAGCTAAATGCTGGGAAATGAAGAAAACCTTGATTACCTTTCCAACCCTTGGAATTAACCCAATGAAGTTAAAACAGTAGGGTTACAAGCAAGCTTTTGCAAGGTATACTCAGCAATGGATCTATCTTAACTGTTCCATAATTAACTGAATGAAGTAGAAAACCCACTGTGCTCACTATTTTGTTTACTGTGAAAAAGTAACTCTCTTCTCAAAAATGTCATCAATCCATATATGAAGTATCTTTGAAACAACAAATATAACTCTGTTCAATTACTCTCTGCTTGAAAACACCAGGCAAAATATAAAACATAAAGAAGTTTTCTCAACAAATATGACTGCCCCTATTTGATAAAAGAAATCAAACACAGAGTCTAAATTAAAGAGGAATTCCCTTCGGATTATAACGTCCTCAAAGTGTTCAGGTTTGTGGATGAGATTATCTCCTAGAAGCCTTCTACAATCATTCAAAAGTTTTACTTGCCCAT